TAAATTACCTTAAATCTAAAATTAGATATTTTGATAAAATGTAGTATTATGGTTGTTATTTTCTAACTATTCCCAAATGCATAACCTTGGACAAATTTTCATATCCTCTTCATGAATTTATCCTAATTGACTTATTAAACATGAAATTGTTAAATGTGAAAAAAAAATGACTGAAACAATATATAAGCAAACAAAAGAAGAAAGTGAGGCTGTAAGTTGTAAGTGGGGTGAGGACACAAGTCATTCCTCAATACTGCAGCCCATAAGATCACTGTTTATAACTTGAGTCAGGATGCTCACAGAACTGTCACACTCAGAAATTCTGCTTCGGGGGTGGGGAGATAGCTCAGTGGCATAAGCGCCTGGTAAACTCAAGGTTCCATGTTCAATCCCAGGTACTGGGAAAAAAAAGAAAACAGAAACAAAGAAATTCTGCTTCAACAGAAATCCCATTTAGAGCCCAAAATTTCTTCCCATTGAACAAAAGAAAAACCTTTCTGCCTCTTCTGAATTGAGAGTTATTCTGTAGGGTACATACAGAACAAAATGATTAACTCTTTCCATTTCAAAAAAATAAGAATGTTTCAGAGGCTACAGAAGGCTGGCTTAGAAAGAACATGTCACCAAAACATTTGAATCACCCTGAGCTCTAAATTACAGACTGGACATTGAAGAAGAAGCGATACAGCAGCAGACTTTACTTCATAAAACAATTTTCTCACAATCAAGTAAGTCAGGTTTCCTTTAAAATGACATTTCTTGGGCACCTATCTTATGCCAACCACAGAACTGGGCATGTTTACATCACCATAATGAACCCTAATAACAAATATTCCCATGTTTCAGATGGGGGCCCCAGAGAATAAACAACTTGCCTAGAGTACCAGAGGCTGGTAGTGGCAGGATTCAAGTCTAGGACTGCAAACTGCAGGCTTCATGCTACAGGAACAGGGAGCACCTCGGCCACTTATAACGAAACCAACAGAAATGATCCTTGTAGTATTTCAGGACCAACTTCTTTTGTGAAAACCCAAGCTACTATCTTTAGGATCTTGCAGGGCTTCATGGAAATAAACAATGATGACAACTTAATTTCAATCCCTTTACTTGAGAGCAAGAATTTGAGAAATGTTTAGTTTATAGCATCTTCTGGTCCATGAGAAAAGTCCTCTTGCATTTTCCCCTCAGATGCTGTATCTTGGAAAATCAGAGACTTTACATGGGATCACAGAAGTCCTCTACTCTTTCCTTCAGTTAAATGAAATATTTTGTAGGGACTGAACCTTTCAATGGCTCTGATCAGAAGATGACATTTCACCAGGGTATTTAATAAATTTAACAGTTTTTTCTTCTTTAAGATCTACACACTGGAAAATCCAGAAAGGAGGTTAAATGTGAGCTTCTGCAATTTTTCTGGATCAATTAAGGCAGCTATAAGATCATCCCTCACTATAATGACTTAGCAGGGGCTTGTAAATACTCAGTGCCTGTCAAAGGTGGAGTTTCACTGCTTGTTAAACAAGTGGGCCAGAGCAGACTATACAAAAGTGCTAAGATTCTTTTTACTCAGGCCAGAGTGTGTCAAGGAGAAAGAAAAAGAGGGGTGTGAGAGGGATGGATGTCCAGGGAGTGGTCTAGGTTTAAGAGTTCTCAGCCTAGAAGCAGAAACACACAGAGGAACTTCCCTGCATTGTGGTCTGGACAAACAAACGCACAGCAACACTTCAGCCAACCTCTCTCAGATTTAGAATGTAGCATGTCCTTTATGGAGAAAACAAAACAAACACCAGCAAGAAACCAAAACAGTCAGGCTCCTGGAGCTCACCTGTATTAGAACTGGGAAAAGGCACCTCTGAGACCAAAGGCTGTGTTTAACCAAATGCCTAGGGAAGGTTTATCCTGTCCCACCACATATAAATCTGAACATAAAATTTAAGATGTATTTATGTAAGTGGTTCCAATTGCCAGGGAACAGTTGCTCAAAGTCCTTTGCAAACCAGCCTCTAATGAGTGGGTACACTGTCCCTGGTGCCTAGAACTTAGTCAACAGATGAGCAGCTCTGTAGAGCCCAGGGCTGAAAAGTCGGGACCTCTGCATCACCACTGGGAATGGGGAGTGAGACATTCTTTAGGTCATCCCTCAAGAGTCTTGACACAAGGATTTAATAATTACTACCATACTTATCACTTGGAAAACAACAAACAAGGTCATTGCTTCTTTGGGCCAAAAGGAAATCAAATCACTCTTTGTAGACTCTGCTATTTGTATGTGGTGGGACAGGATAAACCTTCCCTAAAATTGCCTCCTAACATTTGGCACTTCTTCAGGGGGAAAAGTCAGCACTTGCTTTTCTATTCCTTTCCTCCCACAGGAATGTCCTCTGAAGGCAATTGCAGGATGTTATTTATTTACTAAAAACCCGACTTTCCTTTGCATAAAGTTCTGGAGGAGTCAATCAGACCACACCATGAGGATCCCATGAACTTCCGAAGAAATTTTTCTTTTGGTGGGGAGGGCATTGCAAGGGGAGCAGGCAACTGCCACATATTCAGCAACTCAGAAGCCTCCCTGGAGAAGAAAGTGCCGGTCAGGAGGGGAACAACCCACTGCTACAGCTGCATTCTGGAAAGAGGTGGAGCGTGCCAAGGAATCCACTTTCCCCAGAGGGTGCACCAGCCTTCACCTCCTGGGTGTCCCCACCGGTGCAAGCTCTTAGAGCAAGGAGACTAGACAGAAATGACTCCAAAGAAGTGCATTCTGGAGCCCAATTTAGAAGCAGGTAATCCTGGCGCAAACGTAGAATCTAACTACGAGTAACTCATATTCCTGAGCTATGGCTCACACATGCACCTGATCCAGTGATCTGTCAGGAGTGAACCACTTAAATATACCTTTGTTTAAAAACAAGTAAAAAAGCTTGCAATTATCTTTAATAAGGGACACGTGGAGAGCAAGGTAGCCCAGGAAAGAGGCGGGGGTAGGTTCTCCTCCTTTTTGACCTCTTTCAGGCCACAGCTACACATTCTTGATTTTCTGCAGAAATCTGGCAATTTAACGGGATTCAGGTAGGGCAGGAAGGCACCTTTCCAACCTGGGCGAGGGAAAGCAACGTTTCCGGGCTTCATCCACTGGGGGGCCCAGCCATCCCGGAGGCCAAGGTGCCTGCGCTTCATCCCACTTTCTAAACCGTGGTTCAGGGGCAAAAAGGGAGAAAAGGGAACAGGTGGCGTTAAATAAAAATTAAACCCTGCGTGTTTCCAAAGGGTCACCTCCGAGAGCGCCACTTGGTTCCCTTCCCAGCCACCAAGCTCTAGGATTGCGCGGGGCAAAGCAGCACAGACGGCTTGCGGAGCAGCCACATGGGAGTCCCTGAGGAGCTTTGTTCTGCGTTCGCAGAAACCAGGGGCTCGCGGGTGCGAGGGTGGGCGCCGTGCGCGTGGGATCCGAGTCCGAAGCCGGGCGCACACCGAGTGCCGTGCCCACCCTCGCCTAGCACGCGGCCTGGCTGGGGCGCGCGTCGTCCACCCGCGGAGGCTCACCTAGCACCACGGCGGCCACGGTGGACAGCAGCAGCCAGTTGTTCCTCACGAAGCGCTTCCAGTCGGACCCCTTCCTCGCTGGCTTCCCCATGGCTCCTGGCTAGGGCGGCCGCAGCGATGCTGCGCGGAGCTCGGGCGTCGCGCGGGGGCCGGGGCGGCGGGCGCGGGGGCCCCAGGCGGAGGGTGCGCGCCGAACACCGGCGTAGCTGCTGTTGCTGTCACTGACGGCCGCCTCTGGGATCGCGCGGCCAGCCCGCAGCCCAGCTAGCGCTGTGGTTTTGCGTGGCGGCCGCGCCCGGCTCCTCCTGCTGCCGCGTTCCGCCGCGCCCCGGCCAACCAGCGAGGGAGAGGGAGGAGCGGCGGGCCGGGCGCGCTGGGGGCGCGTGGGGCCCTGATGGGGCGCGGGCCCTGCGGCTGCGGACACCTGCGTCCCGCCCACCGCCTTGGGGTCCTGCCACCCACCCGGAGCACTGGGCTCCAGATTGCGGTTCCTGCTCCCCTCAATCAGAGAGGCGGAGCCACTGCGCCTCCCGCGCGAGCGAGGCCACCTTCCCCGGCAGTAAGGCGCAAGCCGAGGCCCTGCAAGCTGGGAGAGGCTTTGAGCCGGGGAAGCAGTCCCTTGCTGCCCTGCCAGAGCCCGGGATTTGCCAGCATCCACGACAGCCTGAAGGGTCTGAAGAAGGACGAGGCAGATGGGCACGGAGGGGTGGGGGCCCGAATTCCCCTGCAGGGGTTATTTATTCTTCTTTTTGGTCGCAGTAGCTGAAATTCCAACAGGATTTGCCTGTGGACATAGGCTCGGAAGCGCTCCCAGGACAGGGGGATGGTCCCTCTCACAACTTTGCATCTGCTCTTGGGTACTCGTTCTGCGGTGCCAGTAATCAGGACTGAGAACCAGACCGGCTGTGCTGGGAACGTGGGCGCCCCATTCCCCCCACACCAAATACGTTAGAGAACAGAGGTAGGAAAATTAACTTGGTGCCAAATACACTTCATGCTGCGGAGTGAATTTTTTAATTTCTCTATCCATTTTTTTTTCACCTTCACATAAACTCTTTCCATTCCTGAGCGCTATATCTATTGTACAATTTCATGTTGTGTTCTCACCAGTTTTCCTAAAATTACCTTAGCCTTTTAACTTTTTACCCTTTCGTTATTTTATTTATTTATTTATTTATTTATGTATTTGGTACAAGTTCTCTTTATGCAACTTGGACTCATAGTGATCCTCCTGTCTCAGTTTCCCCAGAGCTGGGGTTACAGGCATGTGCCACCACGCCCGGTTTTGGTGGCCTGCAGGGCATGTGGCACGGGGGATTGAGCTCAGGTCCTTATGAATGCCAACCAGGTGTTTAGACTGCTGAGTTTTCTCCCCAGCTCTTTTTGCCCCTTGGTAGACTGCTCTGTAATAGGGATTGTCACAGTGTCCAGGACTAGATTAGCTGATGCCTGACAGACTGCCGTTCAGACGTCATTCCCTTGCTTTTAAATGATAAACATGCCCTTAAAAAGATAATAGATTAAGCTTTATCAAACAGATGCTCTTAATACAAATGAGCTGATCAGAAAGTAAGGAGATAAGCTTTGAAAGAAGGAAGCATAGAAGGTATTAAGGTCTTCCGATGTATGAGGGAGCGCTGAAGACATGTCAGGAGAAACTATCAAGAAAGAGAAAGATTCCATAGAAAAGCTGACAGAACTCACTAGCCAAATCGAGAGAGTTAGTAAATACATTATAAAATTATTGCGCAGCTGGACATTATACAGTCTACGTAAAGAGAACTCATGCAGTTTTTAATCAGTTGGGATAGGAACCAAAAAACAAAGATTAAAATTGTATATCTAATTTGATCATAGGTACATTAGCATATGTACTGAACCACGGACTTAAAGACAGAAATACACACAGGTTTAAATAAATAATGGTTATCTTTGGGTGAGAACATCTTATTTAAATCCTTTTTCCTTTCTAGCTTTCTGTGGTTTTTTTTTTTCTTTTCCATTTATATATGTGGTACAAGGTCTCACTATGCAGCTCAGATTCATAGTGATTCTCCTGTTTTCAGCCTCCCTAGCACTGGAGTTACAGGCATGCACCACCATGCCTGGATTCTGTTACTGGCTCAGCACACCCTGGGGGTGGGGCCAGCATGGCATGTGGGATAGAGTGGAACCCTGGTCTCTGCACTTGCCAAAGCAGGCACTTAATCCACTGAGCTATCTCACCAGCCCTTCCAGCTTTCTGTGTTTTCAAGGTGTCTACTGTAAACATGATCATTGTAGCTGCTGATGGGATTATATATATAAAATAAGTTCTTAAGAGAGGAGAAAAGTGCAAGAGCATAAGAGGACCTTTGCACAACTCATAACTTTTTCAGTTGTAGTATGATGACTACAGCTGAGTTTTAGAGTTGGTACTTAGGTTTAAATTCCAGTACCAACACTTTCCAGCTAAGTGACCTTAGACACGTTGCATACTGTTTTTGCATCTTAGTTTCTCCAACTGTAAAATGGGACACATGTAATCTTTACCACACGAGGCATTATGATAATTGATACAATAATGTGCATGGAAGGCATAGAATGCTGTCTGGCACCCAAGTCTTATCACTGGTCTTACCTGGTATCTATCTGGATGAGCATCTTCTAAATCCCTGTGGCTTGTTCCGCACGTGTCCTGAACTCAGCCTGCACAATGGCTGGGCAGCTGGAGTCTTTGCACTTTGGCCAAGAGTATATGCTGTTCAGAAGTGCTTACACTTTCACACCTATGGTCTGTTAGAGTACACATTCATTTGCTATTTGTATTATGCAAGTTTGAAGCGCTGCAATATAAAAGATTAGTGAAGTCCCAATATATGGACATATTTTGAAGTAACAAAAATTTCCCAGAACCAAGTTGTAGACTGTTTATACCACTGCAACGTGGAAGGTCTGCTTTGGATAATATATTTAAAAAAGAATAAGCAAGCACAAAGCATTTATTTGCTAGCACAGTTACTTTAAGCAGTAATGGAAATTCATTTATTCATTTATCTTTTTTTAGCACATGTTTGCAATACACAATAAATACATTTGTTGTGGTGCATAATTCACTGCCTTACATCTCTTTCCTCTCCTTCTTGTTCTCTAGTCCCCATATCCCCTTCCCATCTCTACAAAGTCTGTCTTCCTGTTTCCTGTCATTTATCTTTTATTTTGGTTCCATGTTATTTATAGTTTGGGTTTCTCCTTTAGGAGGAGACATACAGTAGTTTCTGTGTCTCATTTATTTTACTTAATGTTACAGTCTCAAGGTGCATCCATTTGCCTACAAATGATCCCAATTTGTCTTTCGCTTTGGCCAGGTGGTACTTCTTGTGTCCACTTGTCACACTGTCTTTATCTGTTCATCTGTTGGTGGGCAAGTGGGCTGCTTCCACGATTTCATGGTTTTGAGTTGTGCTGCTACACACTAGCGCAGTGACAGCAAACCTATGGTATGGGTGTTGCTTTGGGTTGCTCAATACATTGAAAGTTCCAGAAGGTTCACCATCACTGACTAGGGTATGTGTGTATCTCTGCAATATGATGTCCTTTGACTCTTTTGGAAAGATGCCCAGAAGATACATGGTTGGGTCAACTGGAATCTCTACTTGTAGTTTTCTGAGGAATTTCCCTACTTCTTAGCACTTCACACACATTAAATTTTTTGGTCAGTTCAACAACTCACTGAAGTAGAAATAATAGCTACCTCATAAGGCTTCTAGAAAAATCAACAGATATTGTGTTTCATCATCCTCATCATACAGCTGAGGAATCTGAGGCCTAAAGAGGTAAAGTGACTTGTGTATATTGCTTGTGTTAGTAGAAGGAGGACCATGGTCTAAACTAAGAGGCCTGTTTCCACAATTTGTTCATTTAATTAAAATCTCTTACATGAGGAACAGAGTTGTAACAGAAAAGTTACCCTTGAGTTGCATAGTTTCCTTTGTGCAAGGTCTTTAAGCATCTGTCCACCCATCTTTGCCATCTAAATGCTCAGGTAGACTCTGAATATAATGTATGAGGCTGTGATTCAACTAATGCTTGAATGTTTGTCACTATCGCTGTCACTGGCTCCTGTAGGATTTTTCCACTTCTCAGTATGAAGCATTTCTTCGGGGAGAGAGGAGGTTGCAGGCCATAAGGACTATATTCTCTTTTACTTTTCTGACCTAAAATAGTCATAGACACAATTAATCTCAGATTGAACAAGAGTTAAAAGGCAGTTCCAGTTCCCTCTAAAGCTCTACCTAATGGGCACTTGACTGCCTGCTCTTAAAAGGAAAATATCATTCTTGGAATAAGAACTTGGATCCCACAGGAAGAAATACAAAGTTTATTTTTCTCTAACAAATGTTAATGTCTTCCTTTTTTCTCAGGCTCTTCATATTTCTTTGAGCTAATACCTATTGATTCCATTCTGCTGATGTTATTAGTCCCCCTCTTCCACCTCTTTCTCAACATTTATGAAACTCTTTGTTATTGAAGCTCTTTTTGAGAATGTTGACTCATGGACCTTCCAGTTAGTTATTAAAGAAAGGAGACTTTGACTTTGTCACACAAGGTTAAACTAGCAGGTGACAGACATCCTGGCCTTATATAATTTTTTCAAAAGGCATTGGAAATGAAGCATCAACTTCTGAGTGTCTCTTGAAATAATTTACTGCTAGTGGTACATCATCCTCAAGCAGATGCAGCTGTCTGCTTCCTCCTGTGCTGGGGCTGTGAGGGAGATCATGGGCAGGAGAGGCTCCTTCAGTTTTTTAGCTGTGTGGATGCCCATGACCAGTAGTGGTGAGAAGGGTGCTGTTATGGTTTGTGTCTAATTGTCCCCCCAAAGCCTCATGCAGACACTGGGGCAGCTTCTAGGATTTGTGATTAATTCATGATCCAATGTGGGGATTATGGGTGTGAGTATTACACTTGCCCTGGACCAGATAGTCTGCAGACAAATGTAAAGAGGAGAGAGAAGCTAGCTAGAAGGCACAGCAGCTGCTGCCCCTTCCTTTGCTCTTTGCTGTTTTCTGCTTCCATGTACTGCTGCCCTCTGCAATGTGCCGCTGTGACTTGGAGCCAGGTGACTATGGACTAAAACCTCCACTAACTGTGAGCTAAATAAATCTTTCCTTCCTTAATTTGGGGTGTTGGATATATTGTCCTAGTAACAAGAGAAAAGTAACTAAGACAGATGCTGTCAGCATATCCAGACATCTGCTTTATTTTATTTTTTTGTGGTACCAGAGATTAAATAGACATCTGCTTTAACAATTTCCTCTTTATCTTCTGATCTCAGCCTGGACCTACTCTATATTGGAATTATGAATCAAAGACAAGAAATACTGTTAATAATTAAACCTTCTGGATACTTCTCCAAACAATATTTCATAATGATGATTTGGCTGAAAGAAGCTTACTGCTAGTTAGATGTCCTTGAACTATTGGACTCCACCAAAGTTCGCTTCATAGGCTTTGCTGACATAGAAAACTGAAG